AAAAAAAAAAAAAAAAAGAGCGCCGCCAAGAGTCACCCATTGGGGGAGATGGGCGGCATACAAATTTGAAAATAAAATAAATAAATAAAATTTTAGTTTCTGTGAACTTGTTTCATCTCTAGGGCATTTAAATTGGTTGTCATTGCCATATCATGTGGCAACAAAACCATAAGTTAGCTGTGTCCTATAGAAAGAAATACTGGTTTCATGTTTCAGTTCATAGGCAACCTTCCTGAATAAAAGAAAACGCTATGAGATGCCTTCGCTTATAAATTCATGGTAGAAAGGTGGAACTTAGTTCTTTATCTAAATTAAAATGTCACGTTCAGGACTGCATTAGCCCTTTATACTGCATATAGTGAAACCTGTGCAAAGTTTGCAGTGAAACTGGCAAAGGGAAGTCCCCAAATACCCTACCATGGATGCTTGATGTGTAGCTAGCTCTATGTGAGATCATCAATCATTGTTTATGAAAAGAGGTCCTTCTCAATTTCTAAGACTTCTCCTATCTGGTGCTGATTGCCCTGTAACGTAGTAAAAATCTGATTTGAGTAGAGTTTAATATAAACATTGTAGAGACCGTCTTGGGATTTTCCTTATCATACACAGAAGATGGAGAATATTCTGTACTAATCAAAATTAATTAGTTCATAATGGTGACTGTTATTTTTACTTTGCACAGTAAACTGAGTCAGTGCCACAATGTTCTAATTTACTGATATTTTGTTTCCAACTATAGATTATTAGAAATCTCAACCACTGACATTGAAGAAGAGAATACATCAAATACCTTAAGAAAGAGGTTACATAACTGAGATTCAGATCATGGAGTCTTCAACCAATCTAGATGTTGATGCCCAGCTAATTGTGGAAGATTGTGCTGGTACCTTTAGCCTGTCTCATATGCCAGATATTAAAGTTGAACACCACATTGAGTCCAGTGTGGAGGAAGGACCAGCTCAGAGTGTTGCCATGGGAATGAAATTCATTTTGCCCAATAGGTTTGATATGAATGTGTGTTCCCGATTTGTCAAGTCATTGAATGAAGAGGATAGCAAAAACATTCAAGATCAAGTGAACTCTGACCTTGAAGTGGCATCAGTATTATTTAAAGGTCAGTTTTTAAAAGTGTTTCTTTTCAGGGATAATGCTGCCAAAGCAAATGAACATATGGGTGCAATTGAACACTGTACATTTTTCTTATTTAAAGAATGGTCTTAAATTTGGTTTAACATTCCACTTTACCTGACCCAATATTTCTTCCCTGTTTTATTGCTGGTATTTGACACTGGCATTCTGCCATTTTTATATGTAAAGTGGTCTGAACTTTCCATGCTTATGAATCTACTCAATATTTGGTCTCAGACATATAAATAATAATTTAAGGATAAAAATAGAATAATTTCTTATTATAATGATTGGGTCAGTCCAATCCAAAATACTAAATAGGTTAATTTTATTTATTTATTTTATTTGTATGGCCGCCCATCTCATCAAGGGACTCCGGGCGGTGAATAAAATTTAAAAAATAAAAACAATTAAAATAATGCAAACATTAAAATACATAGCAGCTGAGAATAAAGCACCCATCATAATGACTAAATTAATCACGAAATGGGTCCCTGCACACACTTGGGACCCCAAGCCTGGGCACAGAACCAGGTCTTTAAGGACTTACAAAAAGCCAGCAGTGTCATGGCCATCCTGATCTCCAGAGGGAGAATGTTCCATAAGGCAGGTGCTACGGCAGAAAAGGCACCTCTTCTAGGCCCCGCCAACTGGTATTCCTTAGCCTGTGGGACCCGAAGCATGCCCATACTGCCTGACCGGATTGGACTGGTAGAAACAACTGGGGAGAGACAGTCCCTCAAGTAACCTGGTCTCAAGCCATGAAGGGCTTTAAAGGTGAAAACCAGCACCTTGAATTGCACCTGGAAGCACACTGGCAACCAATGCAGCTCACAGAGTAGAGATGTTACACACGCTGAATAACCAGCTCCGTTTATTACCCATGCTGCTGCATTCTGCACCAGTTGAAGCTTCCAAATGCTCTTCAAGAGCAGGCCCATGTAGAGTGCATTGCAGTGGTCCAAACAGGAGGTCATGAGGGCATGAGTGACAGCAGGGCCTCCTTGTCCAGGAACAGGCACAACCTGTGTGCAACCCAAAGGTGTGCAAAGGCCCTCCTAGCCACGGCTGCCACTTGCTCCTCAAGCAGGAGCCATGAGTCCAGGAAGACCCCCAGATTGCACACTGGGTCTGTCTGAAGCAATGCCACATCATCCAAGACCAACGATGGAAAGTCCCCAGCAACAGATGGTCCAAACACCCAAAACCGCTCAGTCTTGCTTGGGTAGAGCTGAAGCCTGTTGCACCCCACCCAGGCCCCCACAGCGTCCAAACAGTCCAGAAAGGACATCCACAGCACCACTCAGGCAGCCTGGGGTGGAGCTATAAAGCTGGGTATCATCAGCATACTGGCAATACCTCACCCAAACTGTTGGATGACCTCACCCAGCAGCCTCATGTAGATGTTAAACAGGAGGGGAGAAAGAACCAAGCCCTGAGGCATCCCACAAAGTAGGGGGCATGAATTGGACCTCTCCCCTCCTATTAACACTGACTGGAACCTGCCCCTGAGGAAGGAGGAGAACCAACACAGCACTGTGCTGCCCACCCCCAACTCCCAGTTCAGAAGGATACCATGATTGGTAGTATCAAAATCAGCTGAGAGGTCAAGAAGAGCTAAGATTGATGCACTACCCCCATCCCGCTCCCACCAGAGGTCATCCAAGAGCATGATCAATGCCATCTCCATCCCATACCGTGGCCTGAATCCTGACTAAATGTTTTCTCCAATCAGGTAATTAAAATGTCATGACAAGCTAGCATTCAAAAATATTCTTATTAGGCTCAAACAAGCATATTATACATATTGCCTAAATACTCTCATTTGCCTTCAGATGCCAAATGTGGAAACTGAGTCCATGATTTATTTAGCATTTCACATAATTTGGACATGTTATCCTCCTAATTATGCAAAATCTTGAGCCAAGGATAAGCTCTGTCTTTTGATGCTGGTTTCTTAAGAACTGAATAAATATTATTATAAATTAGAAATTTATTCTACAATAAAATAGTGTTATATTACCACAGTATTCTGACAGCTGCTTTTTTTTACCTAGCTGAGTGCAATATCCACACTTCTCCTTCTCCTGGGATTCAAGTAAGACATGTCTATACCCCATCAACTACTAAGCATTTTTCACCTATCAAGCAGTCAACCACCTTAACTAACAAGCACAGAGGAAATGAAGTCTCTACAACACCTTTGCTTGTAAACTGTAAGTGTTCCTCTGTGGAAGGAATAAGTTTGGGCACAGTCCCAGAAATATCTTCTATTCATGCACATATACAGAAGCCCTCAAGAGCCTTCAGGCAGCTTTGGCTGCTTTGTACCACAGATCCAGAGAAGTGCTTTACTCATGAGAGATATCTTGTACAGCCATATTGCTTTATAACAATGAAAGATTATTGAAATGAAGCTCTCACTTCCTTAATACATGTTGTCTTTTTATCAGTTTCCAACCCCTGTGGCTGGTTTCATATATCATACTAAACCAAAATGTGGATGGGTGGGGTTAGTTAGGGTTCAGTGTGTGAACCTAAGTGGTTTATGCAGCAAAACAAACCATAACTTAGTACAGTATGTAGCATAAACCTAGCTTATGTGCCTGTGGTGTTCCTGGTTATTCACAGAATTTGGTTATTTACTGAATCGTTATATGGTTTTCTGCTGTTGCCTTTGCAGCTTTGTCTGTTCACCAGCTGGCAGCTCAGGGAGAAATGTTGTATTTAGCTACACGCATAGAACAAGGTAAGAATCGATTTCTGGGTTTTGTTTTGTTTTTTTGGCAGAGGTGATATGCTGCTAGGTGAGGTCTATACTGGAGCTCTTTTTTTAAGAGAGTTTCCATTTCTTCCTCACATTGTCCATTCTTTTTCTCCATTTACTTTGAAATACTTCCAAATCATATAGGTTTAATTAATCATGATGTCAAATCGTTTTATATCAGCATTGATACAAATATTGATACAACCAACAACTATGTATCAGCATTATAGAAACAAAAGATTTAAAAGCAGTATATAGACTTGAATTATGGGACTTCTATGCTCTTTCTTTGGGAAAATATATTTAGCAGCAAGCCTTTTCTCGTACTATAACATTGTTGTCCAAGGTATCCTGTAATTTTGGTGCATCATGTGATGTGGGCAAGGGAACATCCTCCTAATAAAGGAGTTTTGTTTCTATTGTACAAGCTTCTTCTAATGCCATCATTGTTCAGTTCTGACAGTATTCCCTATGATACTGCCTACACTGCAATGTCATCATAGATAATTTTGTTTGTTACCTTTGAGATAACCATTTGATGAATGTAGACAACTAATTATGAATGCTTTTTTAGAATATAAATAGTAATTCTTAATTTCACCAAGGAAATTCTTAGAATTTTTTGTGATATACAACTGCTGTAGGAATATATGGGAAAATATTTTTACGTAATTAAAACATAATTTATTTAAACTAAAAAAAAAACAGAAAAAGTTGTTTTAATATGTCAGACTGTCTGTGCAGCCCAGAGATGGCTGAATCTTGGGCCAAACATAGCTGCAGAGCATCTTGTGCAACTCCCAGAGTATTGTGAATGGGGTGCAGGTTTTGGCAGTAGCTTGGGTAATTTGGGGGCAGAATAAGTGGAAAGATAGTTGATCTGTATGTTTTGTTAAACAGAAAATGTAATCAACCATATGGATGAAGAAGGCTTTACTCCTCTAATGTGGGCTGCAGCTCATGGGCAAATTGCAGTAGTAGAATTTCTACTCCAAAATGTAAGTGAAAACTATTCTATTTTATACATGTCTAGTGATGCAGCAAATAGATATGTCTCTTTCCATCTTCAATGTAAATCTTCAAGTGAAATTTAAAGAAGTAGTATCAGTGCCAAGAGAAAACATAAAAATTGAGAAATGAGTATGCAAGTGTTGTGAATGTAGCTTGCATGCCAGACTTCAGACTCACAAGCCACATTCCCCATGAGTGAAAATTGTCTCCTTGTTAAGAACAGAACAAGATTTTCTGGCCTCTCCTGCTGGGTATAAAAAATATTTGGTCTGTTCAGAAGCCAGAAAGAAGTTTATAGAGAGAGTCTGGGTACAGAATGGCATTTCCATCTTCCTCAGCGGCCTATGATCAATTTTGGAATCTCCAAGCAGCTGGAGAAGTCCAGGAAATTGAATGAGAGGACCATTTGGTTCAGGAAACCTTCTGTTTCTGTAGAACTAGGTAAAACATATAAAAAGGAATTTGAACTAGGGATTTTTAAAAATTATTTTTGCTTTCTATTTTTCTTCATTTAGTACAAATTATGGAACTGGGTATTTAATTTCAGTGTTCATCCATATTTCAGGCTATGCAATGAAGATGGATTTTTTTTCTTTAGAATTTTCTGGTGATCTGTAATATTCTGAACCTCTCCTTATGATCTGTAATATTTTGTGCAGAGGATTCTTAATTTGTAGGAATCCACTGCTGCCTTGTGATCTGTCCAGAATGGTGTATTTTTTAAAAGATTTCTTTTGGATGAACTAATTTGCAAGCTGCTGTGTTACCATGGCCAGGGTTGTTCTTACCATGACAGAAGGTGGCAGCAGAAATTATCAAGCTGTTACCCCAAAACAGATGGTGGGATAAGAGTGTGAAGACCCAGAGGGCATCTGGGAAACAAGATTTAGAACCATCAGCCTTTTACCTTGTGGGCTTCAACCTCATTACAGCAAGTAGGCAATAGCAGTAGTGCTCAGAGTGATTTGATATAGCTGCTGAGAGATACAGGTTGCAGTTATAAATGATACTGCATTGGTCTCATATTATTTCTTGGAAGTATTTCTTCCATTTATAGAAATAGTTTCATGTCCAGATTGTTAATTCTCCCATTTCTACATTTCTATATATCTTATGTTGATACTTTCAACAGGAACAATAAAGAACCTTTTTTCCCAGAATGCACAGATGAGGCATTATCATACTAAATGATAGACTCATCAGTACTTAAAATATTGTTTCGCATTCATGTTCTAAAAGAGGGATGGTGGGAAATATAATGACTGAAGATATGTGATTATTATTTAGGAATGTAAAAGCTGTTATAAATAAAAACTGTTTGATGGGCCAGAATCAAGAAGTAATTGTTTTAAACTCCAACAGAGGTGGAATGTATGTATAAGAAGAAAGAGTGGCTCATTTGAACAAATTGTTCCATGGCACTTTAGAGATGCCGTGCTGATTTTAAAGAAGCAAGTGGCTATATAGTATAACGGTAGTTTGATCCTTGGACTTAGGAGAGTATTTGAGCCATGGGTTCCACACATGGATGATTCTGTTAATGAAAACAGTGCTGTTTTTCCTGACAGGGTGCAGACCCACAAATCTTGGGGAAAGGGCGAGAGAGTGCACTGTCATTAGCATGTAGTAAAGGGTATACAGACATTGTCAAGATGCTGCTTGATTGTGGAGTTGACGTAAATGAATATGACTGGGTAAGTCTCTCAATGGGAGTGCAGGTGCCTTAATATGTAACACTGAACTTGATATGCCTCTAGCAGAGCATAAAGAGTGAATGTTCTCTTTAGAAATTTCATTTCAATTTCTGTTCTTTATATGATACTCCTTGTTTCCTGAATAGTTGATATGGTAAATTGGATTGTATAAATGTATTTGGCTTTCTTTTCTTTGACTGTATAATTCAGGGTTCTGGCTCTTCATACCAATCAAAATGACCAAGATAACTTTCAAGGGAATTATGTTACTTAGGTGCCATCAAGTTAAGCTTGACACTGATGACTAGATAGATAAATGTCTGCCATTTTAATGCATTTCGCAGAATTCTTCTACAATATTTTTACAATCTATTTAATCTTGTCCATCCATCTTATCTGCTTCTTCCTCTTCTTTTTCCTTTAACCTTTAACCTTCCCAATTAATCTTGGAAAGGAATACCTACTGAGTCTGGTTTTTCTGCAATTTCTGCTGTCTGTCATCTTATAAAACCATAATAGTACCTTCTGGCCTGGTTTAATTCCTGAGCACTTTCTTGTAGTTGTTGTTCCAGGAATTGAGGGCACTGAGGGCAACCTGTGGCTCATAGTTCCTTCCCACACCCCATGTGGCCATGATGTGCCATTCCATCAATGACACCTGAGTGCTTCCTGCAGCATTCCGGTCAGCAGGCTGAGTCCAGCCACAAGGAAGCCACCCAGCTAGTGGGTTGAACTATCTGTGGATGCTTTGCCACTTTGCTCAAAAACTCGGTAGGAAGAGAAATTAAGAATTTGGTCTTTAGAAGCAACAATACATATATGTGCAGGCAAAAGCCTGGTTCACAAAAGAAAATCCACCTCTCTTTCTCTCTACTGCTCCCTCCCTCCTTTCCCAATTTCTGTTAGAAAAAAGGAGAACAGCGTTAACTTACATCTGTTTATATTCTTTAGAGAAGCTTGGCAGAATGGTAAACATCCTTCTTTCTTCCACCTTTTATGCACATGATTTGGATAAGGAAAAGTGGATTGGGACCATGTAATACACTTTGCTGATAAACTAAATTAAAATTTGGGGGCCAATTGCTTTATCATTCACCTGTGCAAAGGAATTGCGTTCTTTAAATTTTCTTTTTTTTTTTTTTTCAGAATGGTGGTACACCCTTGCTCTATGCTGTTCATGGGAATCATGTGAAATGTGTCAAAATACTCTTAGGTAAGTATTGTTAATATAAATTAAACCTGCAGTGGTCAAACTGTGTGCCGTGGCAGTGAACTCACAGGGGTGCTGCAGGGTATTTTGCTACATAATAAATAGAACTGAGAGTTCACTGCAGTGCCCTCGGGGCATTGTGAGCCAAGAAAGTTTGGGAACCTCTGGATTAAGCAATGAAGTTAAAAATGCATGTACATGCTACTGAATCAGTGCTTAGTATCATTTTGTTTTAAGTAGAACATGGTGCTGATCCAACCGTAGAAACTGATTCTGGATATAATTCCATGGATCTTGCTGTAGCCTTGGGCCATCGTAGTGGTGAGTATTCAAGCAGTTTTTAACAAACTGTTGCTGTTCTTTTTTCTATCAATTGCTTAGTTTAACCACTTAATAACTCAGATTTTGTTTATGAGCATACAAATGGGTATTTTAGAACCATATTCTGTTTAATCAGAACTCCCAAGTTTACTGCTGCTTCTTCAGCATTTACTATTTACAGAGCTTGCATAGCTATGCAAAGATAAATATTGTGTCTCCATTCCCCTGTCAAGATCAAAACCTTTTTATGTCTCCCCACTCATGTTGTAAATTGCTCTCTGCTTATTTTTTCTGTAAAAAAACAAAAGGGGGGGGACACTGAGAACTAAGCTTCCCTCTAATACAGGTTCTTTGTTGTAGTAGAGCATGATCAAGAGAAGATACAGTAGAACTCACTTTAATAAGCTGCAAAACCATCAGGTGTGTAGCTGTGTGAGGAGCACATATGTATTTGCGATGACACATTATACACAGACATGTATAATGTTGGATCCTACTGATGGTGCTTGTGTCACCATTGAGGTCAAGGCTTGGGAAGAGCCTTTACTCCTAACAGTGCACCCAAACAGCAATCCTTATTTTTTCCATATAGAAATGAAGGGTACCTTTCACTTATTATAAAAAAGTGAACGAGTAAAAAATCAATATCTTGTTGTATCAAGAATTTAAAATTTTTCCCAAGATCACTAACCACAGCCACTCAGAATTAAGTGGGTATAACTTGGTTCTTTTTCTTCACAAGTGTAGTCAGTTGTGTATTGGAAACTGATAGGTGCGTGCATAATATATATCAACTATTAACAAAATCTCAATGTAGCCTCCACATCTTTCAGTGTTTTTAGAAGAGCCCACCAGTTTAAAGAATTGAATACTAACTGTGTTTCCTCCCCATTTCAGTTCAACAGGTTATTGAGACTCATTTATTAACACTCCTTCAAAACATCAAGGAATAATATTATCATAGCTGTGGAATAGGTGAAGAAATGGGCTTCATTAGAATACCTATCAACATAAAGGCTTGGAATTTTTTTATGGTACCTTAGTCCACTCTTCATTCTTACTACCTACCAAATGTGTTTGAAATGGTAGGTTACTGGCATGCATATTTAGCAGTTGATTATAATAGAAGATACTGCCTTTTGTCCCAGCAAACCTTTCCTGTGCCATAGTGCTGGTTTATTGTTCCAATGTTTCAGTAGGGTCTATGGCATTAGAATTCCTCTAGGTTTCAATGTTTAGATAAGAAAATGGGTACTAATAACACAGCACTTGAAAGGTGAGTTCAGAAAAACTTTATGGGTGTTTATTCAAGCCATTGTTTCTTCTCTTTTGGGTAATATTTTAAGTGAACCATTTTTCATCTGAGGGATGTTCATAGATGTTTTAAAATTCAAACCTATTCTGTTTCTATTTCATAAAATGTATACCACACTTGAAAAAGGAATTGTAAAGTATTATGACAATGTACAAAATCATATCCCATGCTGATGTATGATTTATTTTATACATTTTAAGTAGATAGCAAGATAAATGTTTAGATCATATTAAAGACATACTATCCAGCACTTTGATTCAGTTGGTGCCAACAGGGCATTGTAATGTGCAGTTCATGTGGCTATTTATTTTCATGTACAGACAAGTCAGTTCTTTGCTACACTTAGGAAGGTTTTTTCTTCTTTTTTGCTGTTTACACCCTAATAGCAACTGACTTCTAAAATCTTTACTAGTCTGCAAAGAGCAGATGGACAGAATTCTTTTTTACTCTAATATAGCTTGTTCTATTTCTGTGCCGCCGTTGAAATTCACAGGCTGAACATGATTTTCTACTATAGATTTAAGTATTTGAATTGGATAGAGGAATAATATATATACAAAAATATAGCTGGTCAGGGCTATAACTTGGAATGGCTGAAAAATTCTTAACATTAACACACTATTACAAATTAAGTAATAGTGGTTTTAATTAAGAGCCACCTAAAAGAATAAACGTATCTCATTGTAATGCTTGTTCAAAGCCTTTGATTTTAGAAACGTGATCAAAAATACTGACTACTAAATGAAATTATTCTGGATTGTAACAAATTAGCAACCCATCCATTTTTGCATTCAATAGATAGTAACCTGAATATTATTAATCATATTTATTGCATGTTATATGGAACTGTTAATTCTCACACTAAAACACAAAAAGCACGAGGTAAACATGTTTCATTGAAAATGCTGAAATATGTCTCTACACTGCTATGGGAAAATTGTGCAATACTTGATATATGGTAGGTTCTCCTACTATGAGAATCTTACTAGCCAAAGAGAATTGTTTAGATTCTGCTACTTAAATTTTAGGTGGCTGAAAACATGTGTACCTCTCAATGTGTATTTAATATGCTATGTGTTAGTATTATTTTATTCCCATGCCTTCTGAGATAAAATGCTGTTTTTTGGTTTTATAAAATTGTGACTTGAAAACAAACTTACATTTTTTAAACTGTTTTCAAAGTGGTTACTTTATATAAAGTACAACTTGTGTTTTTGAGCTGTTGTCTATCATGATTTCTTTTTAAATCTGTTTTTGTATTTAGTACTTTTTAGAAAAAGCTTTTCCTTAGTATTTATAACCACAAGCAACCTACATGTTGCAGTCATTCCATACTTTCTTTTCACCATTAAATAGTATAGCAGTTGTCACATTTTTTCCTGTAGATCACTGAAATTGCTAAAGATGTTAGCAAACCATTCACATGTAGTATTGCCATATAAATAAAAATGCACGAGTCATCTTGATAATTTTTCTTCCACAATAGCATATTTAAATCAAAGACTGTATTCTAAAACCTCATAAAACCCTGGAAGTTTTATTGAAAGCAGCTAGACAGCATCAACACAATATAGCTATCTGGTAAAATAGATGTAATTCCTGCCACTGGCTAATAATAGATAATAGTTGGGTTATTGCAGGTATTATATATTTCCCTACAGTATAACCTTTCCAGTCAGACTGCAGTCTGAGATCCTCTCATCTACAGTAGTCAATTTTTAAGGAGTATAATCTTGTTAAAATGGGGGGATGCTCTATACTTCATGCAGCTTAACTGCTTTTGTTTTATAACTGAGGACAAGGATTTGCCCATGATCATTTTCTTAGCAGCAGCATGGAACTGATTTGCCACTATCTTCTTCCAGAATATTGTTTCAACTTTTCAGTGCAGCCTACAGTTCTGGGATTTCCTAGTGATCCTTCATCCAAATAGTACCCAAGACAGACTACTTAGCCATGACATTAATTACTACTAAGAAAAAAAGGCTTATTTATGTTATTTTAGAGTACAAATTGCTCTTCAAATGTATTCATCTTGCCTGTGCCTATCTTTTTTAAATAGGCAACTTAACACAACAAAAGCCCTTCTTTGATCTAAGACTGAAATACAGATTTTTACACCAAGTTTTTGTCCAAACATCAGTGTAGCTAATGCATTAAAATTAATATTTTACCTAAAAATCAATTCAACCAAGGGACAACATCCACTGACATGAACTGTTCACTAGTGAACATTACTGTATTGATGTCTACTGTACTCATAAGTTTTTCTGTGAGATAGCAGTGTCTAAACAATCTTGTTTCCAATTCAATATTATTCTTTGTACCTAGCAGAATGAACACAATTCTGCTGCTAATGATCCAGTTACTCAAGATAAAGCAGAGTCATTTGGTGCTTTGTTGTCAAACTGCTGTCTCAAAAGTAAAAACAAAATGGAAATCAGAATGACCACTGATGGTGGTAGTTAGATCTATGGATTGCAGTGATTCTGAACAATTCTTTATATTAACTTCCACATGGAAAGGAAAATGGCAATAGCTGTAAAGAATAAACTAAGGGGGGAAAAATCACCCTATCACTAAAATCACAGTAACTCAAAGATTAATCCTGATTATTTGGATGTATATTGTAGATACTTTTAGGCTCATTTGAAACCCTGTGACCTTATTCTTCTGCATTGCCCAAACAACATTTTATAGCTATATCTAGTAAATAAAGATTACTGATACATTATAGAGTTCTTCATATTCACTTAAACAAAAAAGAATTAAACTTGGAGGGATACGGTGTATGTTAAATTATATCCTAAGTTACCCTTCTCCGTTTTAGTATCCTCAACATCAGTTAGATTTCATCTCTTATAATTCCCAAATAATATACAGTAGCTGCCCTGCTGGTTAAGAACTTAGAGAGCTGAAGTCCAGCATATCCAGAGGAGACCAGATAAAGGCTATGCTAAACCAACCTTAAAGCCTTTAGCTAAAAGGCTGAGTATTCATAACACTCAGCTATCTAACCTGCTTGTCTTGTATTCAGGTCAAATCTGGACCACCAACAATAATCTAGTTGTGACCTTAAGCCCAGTTCAGTATGTTGGAATAAATATTTATAATAGGTAATGCAACAGAGGTGGACCTGGAAGATCTTTAACTTATTATCACATCATCTGTGATTTCCTTTGACAAGATTTAAAACCAACAAGCTCCGTTTCCCACCACTATCACAAGTAACTAATTATTTTGAATTACATACAAAAATACCAATAAAGTATTTGCCTAAAGATTTAGTCTTTATTAGCTTTTTGACTTAGTACTTTTCCATTTTGTGCACTTCTAGCCCACCTGCATCGTGCACTAACAATAACTGAAGAGAGCTGCATTGAAGGGAGTTTCCAAATATTACAGATCTTAAGACTAAGATCAGTACAAAATATTACAAATAAAAGTCACAATATAAAATAGCAGCTCCACATAATTTTCAAGTTTTACTGAACATGACAATTCAATTTGCTTCATTTTTGGAAGCCTCATCAAAGTTCTCCACAAGATCTGAAAAGGAAAAAAATGGAATGAGTTCTTTTTAAGTGAAAAAAGTGTTATTTTAAAGCTTATGCCAAAATCAAAAACATTTCAGAACTGCATATCTATCAGAGGGCATTAAGCATTAAAGCTTCCTACATAACTATACAACTATCTCTACCTCACATAAACCAAGCTGACAGAAGTAATACATTGTAATGCAATTATTTTTTAATCAACTACAGGTAGTCCTTGAGTTACGTCCATTTGTTCAGCAACCATTCAAAGTTATAACAGCACTGAACAAGGGGGACTTAAGACCTGTCCTTGGAATTCTGGCTGTCATAGTGTCCCCGCAGTCATGTGATTCCAATCCAGGCACTCAGCACCCAGGTTGTGATTACATCGCAGCATCCCATGGTTGCCATTTGCGACCTTCTTTGCCAGCTTCCAACAAGCAAAGTCAATGGGGAAACCAACAGAGGTCACAAATGCTGAACACATGATGTCCTCACTTGATGACCCACGGTGATTCGCTTAACAACGGCAACCAGGAGTGCTGGAACTACTGTCCCTAAGCAGCACAGTCACATGACGTCATGCTTTATGATGTCACTTAGCAACAAAAATTCCGGTCCCAATTGCTGTTATAAGCCGAAGACTACCTGTATACACCAGAAGCCCAACCACATATTCTACCCTTCTGGATAACAAAAATTGAGGTCAAGAAAGTATTTCCAACTATCTAAAGTCATAAGAACACAAAATATTCAAATCTTTTCAAATTCTGTCCACTGACCATTCCAACCCTAAAACAAAACATTTTGCATGTCATGTATATTTCTCTGCAGGTAGTCCTTGTTCAGTAACCACAATAGGGACCAGCAATTCAGTTGTTAAGCTGCCCAAAAGCACGTGAAAGAGGGATCCAAATTTTTCTCTCCAAAAATTCCATCTAAACTCTGATTGGTGTTCAGAAGGGATAGACCCTGTCAATTTGAGTAATTCCGTGGCAGACTTCCTAGTAAAATCCCAGACTCATCTTATGGCTGAGTCTCATCCTTCAGGTAGTTATGGCTTTAAAGGACAACTCCAGTTCTTTGCACTAAACTGAGGCACAACTGGCAGCAAGAACAGCAGATACAATATTATTGATAGAATGCACTCTGAATACTCAATACCCATAAGCACCAGAGCAATTTTGAAGGAACACCATATACAGCACTATATACAGTGTAATAGTCCAGTCTAGATATAACCATCATGTGTAATGGAAGAATAATGAACTACTTGCAATCCTATGCAGATTCTAGCCACTCTTAGCTACCACTATCAGCTGTGCTTCCATAGATAATGTTAGGTTCAGGATTTAAACAACCCCTTCATGAGTTGAATATTCCATTACGTTCAACTGATTTCCTCATCTACAGTACTTCTCTTACATACATTACCTTACATTTGTTTACTTTCATTTATCCCAAAACAGGTATAAGCACCTACTCACATTTTAATAAAAATAAGAAATGAGGCTAACAATTCTTACCTGGAACTTCATCATCATCTTCTTCTCCAGTAGCAAGAGGTGCTTTTCCATCCACAGCTAAAATCACATATTAAGACATGGATGAGGTATCTCTTATCTAATATTTTCACCTTCCATCACAATGTCTCTTACTCACTTACCTCAGAATAAGTCCCACTGAACTCAATGGGAGTTCCAAATAGGCACATAGAATTTGTGAATGTAATATATTCAATAGAATAGGCCACCCAAAAGTCTGTCTAGAATTTTGTTTTCCAAAATAGTCAATTTCACATGTATATAGTTTGCTTTTAGGCAAGAATGACCCCAAAATTGCATGCAATAAATTAAGGAACAATCAGTCCAACATTATTCAAGCTAGAAAAAAAATGTTCACACTTCTCCCAAGGTAAAAACAAAAGCATTTCCGATTTTAATCATGTATTCAAGAAAGTAATATGTAATAATTTTCAGCAAATCTCCACCTTGTTTCTCTAGCCTTGAAAAAGTGAACCACATATATTTATTCACCAGTTTCTTTGCAGAAAATCTGGCTATTCATACTCATTAGTCATGGGGAAATGTTAGGTTTCTCTTTTCTTCACGAACTAAGAAAAAAAATGGACTTGCAGTTTTCTTAATTCATGAAAAAAAAAAATCTTAACAGAGGAACAGAGCTATCATTCCTCTTCCTGATTCCACCCTTTGGAGGTGGGGATGAAAGATGACATCTGAATTACCTGAAATTTCAGATAATACTTTTTTGCATGACACTCTTATAGAGTTTTCCTAACTACTAGGCCACTACAAAGCAATTTTTGCCTATTTCCTATTACAAGCATGAAGATTCCAGTAAGCAGTCTATTAGTTAAAAAATACTGCAGGTCACTCTTTATACTTGTGGGCCACATGAAACTCCAGTCTGTTTATTTGTGCCCTCTTGCTTTGGTTCAGATTGCTGGAATTCAGTCACACAATAATTAGGGTTGTCTTTAATGGAATGAGAAACAAAGTAAATAATTCTAATGTCTGTTAGGATCAATGCACCAATTTTCTTTTTAAAAGCCTAATTCCTCCAAGCAAAGACCTGATTTTTTTTCAGTTGTTCTTATGCTACTGCCATAATCCCTGCAGTACTAACTCTACACCTATTGTGAAGTTTTTGTGGCTCCCAGCCATAGTTAACCTGATTTATGCTAATTATACAAGAACTTGGCTCACTTTCTAAAACCTTCTCTGCACAACTCAGCATCTGGAATATAGTCTAAACACAGATCTTCTATACATTTGTCAAAAAGAACTTCTTCCACTGATCACTACACCATCTTCAATCTGGGCATCAAGTGAAAATCACAAGGAGTAATGTATCAAGTTCTAATTAAGAATGTGTTCCCATGAAAACTCAAATTTAGAGCCTTTTTCAGAAAGATTGCAAGCCTATCTATCTAGGTACTTAACATAAATGTTTTAAACCCTTTTCAGAATATTCGTTCTCAATTATAGTGTGTCTTTAAGTCCTACTTACATTGTTTTGGTAGTGCCTCTGCCAGTCTCCTTAAGCTTGTCAGACTGTCAGCCCCAAGCTGGTTTAAGATGCTAGGCAACATTTCAGTCAGCTGCTTTGTCTCAGCATGGCCTGTGATTGTGAAAGTGTTAGCAGCTAGCGAAGCTTGAACTTTAGGATTGTTGAAGTGAATTACAGTGCCTTGGTTGGTAAACATGTTGACCTACAATACAACAAATACAATACAACAAAAATATCTATGAATTGTACTAATAACTTTTGTTTTTATAAAAGTGAGCTTCATTTCATCCATTTCCTACTAAACTTCATTTCTTAAAATCAGCATTTCACCAAGTGTTTATAAGCACTGTGAAAGAAAAAGCTGTTACCTCTTCTATCCCAGATATGTTATTTACACCCAGCTTCTTTAAGGAAAACTGAAGTTTCTTGTCATCTGCTGTAGCTGTTCTGTGAACCACCTTCTTCTTTCTACGAGCAGTACCCTACAAAGAAAGAGTACATTTTTAACTCTCTTCAAAATATTGTCATTAGACACTTAATTTATGTAGAGTGCATAAATGTCAGGCAACATATCCCTGGATGCACTAAGCATTTTTTCCTTCTGCAAAAGCTAAGCAACTCCACTGATAAACAGGAATGAAGCTAGTTCAACAAAATTAGTTGAAGACAGACTTATATATAATATTTGCCCAGTAATCTGTTTCAAATGCTGAAAAGATATTTTTCAGGGAATCAACATAAAAATTAGCAACACAGATATATTTAACTAAAGAGCTCAATAACTTTTGGTAGATGGAACAATGAGTTTTGAAACACTATTACAATAATCTTTGGCGGAGTTTACCCCATTTTCTTTAATTCAGTTTTCTTGGGCAAACATACAGAATATCTGCAAAGAAAATCAAAGCAGTTAAACAAACCAATCCCATTTTTACGAGACATCCTCCACAATCCAGGTTCACTTTCTTTGGGGGGAGAACTGTGAGCAAAATGCTGTCAGGAGGCCAAAATGTTACAGAAATCATGGTAAGAGCCACAAGTAATGAGGACTGAACAAAAAAAAGGAAAGAATATAGTTCCAATCTAGTATGTTTTATAAGTCAGTGGGTCTAAATGATTGCAGAATGCTGTCTCAATGTTTTAAACCAGATAGGCCCCTTTCTGAATTACACCACATTCTTCGCAGAAATGGATTTTCACATTTTTGTTTGGCACCACTGCTTGTATATGCAGTAGAGATCATTCTAGCTAAGCAATTCTGAATTGTTGACCAAAATGGTGGCCACCAATTAATCAGCTATGGTATGTTTACATCCAAACAATGCTTAATTTTTAAATTTTCATTAACTGGATTTACATTAACCTGCCTTTCCTTCAGGGAAAAGTGACAAATATAGCATTCCATCCTCTAATTTTATGCACAGTAACTACAATGAGGGATCAACTGGACTGAAAGATAATGACTGGAATGTTACTCAATAAACCTTCATGGCTAAGAATGAGTTTGAACCCAACACCTTAAGGAGTACACCATACTAGCTCTCAAAACATATGTAAAAGGTTTAATTCAATTAAATAAATCCAACTAAATTCACAGGCTAAGACATCTTAGTCATTATTTTCAGTCTAAAAATTATGCTGCTTTACATTAATAACCATTTAAAGTTGTGTGTATGATGAAAATTATAGGTTCCAGCTGTAATATCCTCATGCTGGGACCTGAAATTCCACAGACTCCACCCTTAATTAAAGATAGGTTTCTAATGGAAACCGAGTCTAGTACTGTCCATATCAGAAAGCTACAATATACACATTTTGTACACAGACCATCGCTTC